CGGGCAGAAACAGAAGCTTCCTCTGTGTCCTGTCCTACAACTACCTCATTTACAGCACTGATTGCATTTGCAGTAATTGCTTTTCACATGTCTATCTTCCTCAAGAATCTGTGAGCCCCAGGAGGGAATAAACTTCATTCTAACCATCTTTGTTACCAGAGTGTTAGGATAGTGGTTGGCACGGAATCTTAACTTCAGTTTATTAAGTTAAACAATAAAAATACTACTCTTCATCATCACCTTACATTTAACATGAAATTCTCACTTAACATGTTCTAAGATGCTTCATGGGTGGCCCAGCATTGGGCGGTTGCTATTCAGTGCAGAAAGGGAGACACCATCTAAGTGTAAGTCACCCACCAAGAAGCCCGAGTTCTTGTCTCTTAGACTCTATGGACTCTGTGAGACATTTAATCCTTCAGGCCTCAGTTTCCTTAACTAAATCGAGGAGAGTAATAACCTGAGTTCTGAGAGTAAACAGAAAAGTGGAACTAAAGTATCCACCATACTCTGTTTCAACAACCAATGTATAAGCTTTACCATCCTAAAATAAGCTCTGTGTATTTTGTCTCTTCTTATAGTGCAATTATAATTTTGTATATTCATTTAATGTGTACCAGAGTCGTAGGTAGTCATTTTATTATTATTTATTTTTTAGAGACAGGGTCTCACTCTGTCATCCATTCTCCAATGTAGTGGCTTGACCATAGCTCACTGCAACCTTCAGCTCCCAGGCTTGTGCAGTCCTCCTGCTTCAGCCTCCCAACTACAGACATGCACCACCACATCTGGATAATTTTTAAATTTTTAGTAGGAATGAAATCTCACTATGTTGTCCGGGATAGTGACAAACTCCTGGGCTCAAATAATTTTCCTGCCTCCACCTCCCAAAGTTCTGGGATTAAAGGCATGAGCCACCACGTTCGGCCGTAGGTGTTTATTTTAGATCATAAACTCCACAAGGGTCAAAGGCCTTTTGATGCTCCACATGTGGTTGAGTGGAGTACCTGTGCTCCATATATATCGGCTGAACTGACTCGTAAAGTGTTCAGAATGACTTTATAGCAATTTCAGAAATAGAAGCAGATTTGCTGTGATTTTAGTTATAAATAACAAGGAAAAAATGTTTTGCTCCTGGTAAATGAAAGGCACCAGTTTATCTAAAGGACTAAGAAAGGAAACTGATGTTTTGATTTGCTAAATCCAAATGCTTTTAGTAAGATAGGGGAAGAAAAATGGCAAAAACCTGCCCTAGATGCCTTTGCCAGATTTCGTTATGCTCAGAGTAGGTGCTCTGTAAATACCTGTTGGTTGAATGTTGCATGACTGCAGTTCCTCTACAGCTTTAATGAGTTCCTAGGAGCAGCTAGCCATATCCCTTATAGTACCTTTCTGCTGACAGCAGCAGGATATGTATGGTGTTAGCACGGTTGCTAGATGATGAAGCAAGAGAGAGGTCAATCCTGAATAAACATCTGGGAATTTAGTAAGAGAAGTTGACAAAGACCTGCAAAAAACAGCTCTGGATACCAGTTAATGTAAACTTCATTGAGTTAGGTATACCGACTTTTTAAAAAACAAAGGCTGATGTCTGGTTACCTGACCACTGACTCTGGCCCATAGATGAACTTTGGACAAAACATTTTAATTTGAGTTCTTTTTTGATGGGGCCAACACAATCCAGTTTTCCAGAGTTTTTAACACTCCCTATTATCTTGCTTCACTTTACGTAACTTAGGAATCTCCTGAAACTTCCTCCTGGCTTAGAGGAAGCTGAAACTAGAAAGAGAAACCTTTGGATGCCAAACTGGCCTAAAGTTAGAATTTAGTCTCCAAAATTGGTTTAACCAAGCTTTCAGAGCATCTCTTTATCTAATTTATCTTAAAGGTTTTTTTACTGCTGCGATCTGTGAAAGACGTAAAAAAGAAGGGCTCATTATGAGTAATTGTCCGGGGCCCCTTACAGATATGAATATTTTTCATTAATTAAGAATTGTTGATTGTGTACATTCTATGTACCAGCCTAGGGTCGTAGGTGTATGGCACTTCATGGAATTTGCACAACTTACTGAGGGGTATACTGAGGCAGAGCAGGGACTCATCCATCTGCTGGTCTCAACTCCATGTTCTTTTCATTGCTCCACGAGGTAACACGTGATTTCCTACTATACTGGGCACTGAAAAGAAAGCTGCCGGGTACAGTGGCTAGTGCTTGTAATCCTCGCCCTTTGGGAGGCCGAGGCAGCATATCACTTGAGACCAGCCTGGGCAACATGGCAAGATCCTGTCTCTACAAAAATTAGCTGGGCATGGTGGCATGTGCCTGTAGTCCCAGCTACTCAGGAGGCTGAAGTGGGAGGATTGCCTGAGCCTGGGAAGTTGAAGCTGCTGTGAGCTGTGGGAGGGGAGGGAAAAGAAAAGGAGTCTAACCAGTTCATAATTTCCTTTCTCCTTTCCCTTCCCCTTTCCCTTCCCTTCCCTTCCCTTCCTTTCCTTTCCTGTCTTTCTCTCTTTCTTTCTTTTTCTTTTCTTTTTTTTTTTTTTGACAGAGTCTTACTCCATTGCCCATGGTTGGAGTGCAGTGGCATGATCTCAGTTCACTGTAACCTCTACCTCCTGGGTTCAAGCAATTCTCATGCCTCAGCCTCCTGAGTAGCTGGGATTACAGGCACCTAACACCAGGCCCAGCTAATTTTTGTATTTTTAGTAGAGACATGGTTTCACTATGTTGGCCAGGCTGGTCTTGAATTCCTGGTCTCAAGTGATCCACTTGCCTCAGCCTCCCACAGTGCTGAGATTACAGGCATGAGCCATTGCACCCAGCCACAAGTTCATAATTTCTAAATGAGCAGCCTAAAGAAAGGTCTGCTGCAAGATTGTAATAACATAGAATAGCTAACATTTATTGAGTGCCTACTATGTGCTGACATTGTCTTAAGTGCTTACATATATTAAATTAACTCACCTCTCACATCCACTCTATAAGGTATTATTTTTACAAATAAAGCAAGTGAGGTACAAAGAAGTTAAATAACTTGTTTGCCCAAGTTAGGAAATGGTTGAACCAAGAATTGAACCCAGGCCATCCAGCTCCAAAGTTTATGTATGCATAAGCTATGTTGTAGCCATTTGCCTTTTACTTCATGGAGGGTGGAGAGAAAGAGAGGTTGGACACAGTAAATTAAATTCTACCCTGCATTTAAAATTCAATGAAATATTTCTGCTTAAAAGTCAATGATGTCATCTTTATTACTATTTTTATTGACATTCATCTTTTTTTTTGCTATAGCATCCTATTATACAAATGTTCAAGCTTTTGGAGAGTTCTGGAACTATAAATTATTTTTTGAAGCTAATTAGATGGAGACAGGCTTTGTTTAGTAGAAAAACAAGAGAAAAACCATGGAATATGCAGTTTTCAGCAGAAAAGTCACAGCCCCTCTTCCACAAAGCCACCATCTGTTCCTACTCTACTATCGCAAAATCCAGATGTTCTCATCCTCCCAATGAATGCTTTCCAATGGGAACTTCATGTTCAAGCAAATCAAAGTTTTATGTAGTTTGGACTTTCGCTTTTTTGAGCCATCCATTATGAAAAAAAGTGCAAGGCAATTCTGTTGCTTTCGTGCTGTGTTCTCAATCAACAACACAGACTCATCATTTATTATATTGAACTTTGGTTTTTGTATCTCAGGGGAAAAAAATTTAAATTTTATGTCCAGGACAGTATAGAAAAAAATACCTTCTAAAATATTAGAGAATCAGGAACTTGCTATGGGTTTCCTGCTCACAGTTGTAAAAATAACATTACCAGAAGAATGGGGTGTTTTTTTTTTTTTTTTGACCTAGCTTTTTAAAAACCAATTGACTATGAGGATTCATAAGGTGATATTCACAAGTAATGATTGTTGAAAGTTATATGAATAAAAATAGGATAGACATTAGTGAGTAATTTTAACTTAGTCTCCATATATTTAAAATGTGATTTAAGAAAAGGAAGCTTTTGGGAAAAAAAAAAGTTGCTCTGGATTTCTAACACCTTTTTATTTTTACTGTTCCTTTCCAGCCAGTAACATTGGTGAATAATTAATGCCTATAAGGCAGGACACATGTATAGTGCTAAAGTCCTATTACCTGGCTTAAGTTTCATGACCTACCCTGTAAGACAACTCATGTGAAGCGGCAGACATCCCCCAACCCCATTTAAAAAGAACTTTTAAGTACAATTCACTTTTGGAAAATTTGGCTGTGTTCTGGATTTCAAGAGGGTATGGTGACTACTTAACTCAGCAGCTGTGTGTTTATTTTATGTAGAAGTTATACAGACTTGGTAAAGCATATATGTCTGACAGTATTAAAAAAGAAAGGCTGGTAAAACCAATGGCAAGGCTAGGGGATGATTGCAAATTTTGGATGGGCTAGGAGCCATCCTGAGATGGTTTTGTTACGGTTGGTAGTGGTGTGCCGATGATAGGACATGCGAACAGAGGACAAGAAGGGTGACAAGATCCAGCTGGCTGGGCCTTGAAATCAACCTGTAGAATGGCAAATCTATGCAGAAGTGGCTGCAAGTCCATATACTACTTACACTTAAGATATTCTAGGATGTTAAAGAAAGAAATTGCCAGTGTGTGTATGAGAACTCAGGACCACTATTTTTATTTCTAAATATTAAAGCTGACTGGGTGTCCTGTGGACCTTGAAAGGTTGACTCCAAAGACACTGGTCTGCTTGGCATCTGCGTTAGGCCACTGGTATAAATAAGGCCAGCTAACAAGTGTTGAGGCATTGCCATGTGTGAGGCACTGGTGAAGATATTTGATGTGAATTTAGTCATTTAATCTTTTTAAAATTGTGGTAAAAAATGCATGACATGAAACTTACCGTCTTAACCATTTCTTTTCTTTTCTTTTTTTGAGATGGAGTCTCACTGTTGTTGCCTGGGCTGGAGTGCAATGGCACCATCTTGGCTCACTGCAACCTGCGCCTCCCGCCTTTCAGGAATTCTCCTGCTTCAGCCTCCCAAGCAGCTGAGATTACAGGTGCCCGCCACCACATCTGGCTAATTTTTGTATTTTTAGTAGAGACGAGTTTCACCATGTTGGCCAGGCTGGTCTCAAGCTCCTGACCTCAGATGATCTACCTGCCTCAGCCTCCCAAAGTGCTGAGACTACAGGCATGAGCCACAGCGCCTGGCCCATCTTAACCATTTTTAAGAGTACAGCTTAGTGGCCTTCAGTACATTCACATTGTTGTGCAGCCAGTTTCCAGAATGTTTTCATCCTCCAAAACTGAAACTCTATATCAATTAATTCCTCCATTCCTCTTCTTAGCCCCTGGCAACCACCATTCTACTTTATGTCTGTATAAATTTGACTCCTCATTATACCTCATATAAGTGGAATCATACAGTATTTGTCCATTTGTGACTGGCTTATTTCATAGATATATGAACACACACGAACACACCATTTTGTTTATCCGTCAATAGACAATAGGTTGCTTTCAACACGTGGCTATTGTGAATAATGCTGCTATAACATGGGTGTGCAAATACCTCTTCAAGATCCTGCTTTCAATTCTTTTGGATATATACCCAGAAGCAGAATTGCTGGATCATATGGTAATTCTATGTTTAATCTTTGAGGACCTGCTATACTGTTTCCATAATGTCTGCACCATTGTACATTTCTACCAGCAATGTATAAGGCTTCCAATTTCTCTGAATCCTCACCAACACTTGTTATTTTCTGTTTTTGTTTCTTAATAGTAGCTGAGAGGTTTTTCCTGACATTAAATACACAGAGTTTTTTCCACACCAACAACCAATTCAACCAATTCTCTGGCACCAACTGGGTGTCCATCCAGCAACTCAGTTCAGTTCTAATACTAACTTCTAAGGTTAGCACAGACCTCATAGGTTAAGGACTCATTCCTATAAGACTGTCCCCTCTTTGGTTGAAAGTCCCAGGGGTCACCAATATTTATGACTGACCAGCTATAAATTTGGAGTTCCCACAACTTCTTCTCAGGCTTGATAATTCAATGGAATGGCTCACAAAATGAACTTAGGAACACTTTACTTAACATTTAGTTTATTATAAAGGATTCATACAACCCAGGAACAGCCAAATGGAAAAGATGCATAAGGCAAGGTACTGGGTGGGGGTTAGGGGGTGGTGGGACAGAGTCCATGTCTCCCATGGGCACCCCACTCTCCCAGAACCTTGATGTGTTCACCAACCCAGAAGCTCTCTCGACCTCATTCTTACGGGGTTTGATTGGTTTTATTATGCAATAGTGATTGATCAAATCATTGGCCATTGCTAATTAAGTTTAATTTTAGGTCCCTCTCCCTACTCCAGAGACTGGGGAGGGAAAGGGGGTGCAGGTAATGGGGGCAGCTGAAGTTTTAATGATGTAATCAAATCACCTGATTGCTTTTTCTAGTGACTAACCCCCAACCTGAAGGTATCTAGGGGGCCCCTGCTTTGAGTCATCTCATTAGCATACCAGACAGTAAATTCCAAGAGTTTTAGGAACTTTGTGCCGGGAACCTGTGGCAAAGACCAAATATTTATTTTTTTTTATACTACAGTAGCCATCCTAATGGGTGTGAGGTGATATCTTATTGTCGTTCTGGTTTGCATTTCCCTAATGATTAGCGATATTGAGCATTTTTTCATGTGCTTGTGGGCATTTATGTATGTCTTCTTTGGAGGAATGTCTATTCAAGCCCTTTGCCCATTTGAATTATATGGTTTTTATTGTTGAGTTGTAATTATATATTCTAGATATAACCTTTTATTAAATATATGATTTGCAAATATTTTCTCCCATTACGTAAGCTCCTTACAAGTCTGTTGATCAGGTCCTTGCATGCACAGAGTTTTAATTTTACATAGTTCAATTTATCTATTATTTTACTTTCCTTGCCTGTGCTTTTGGTATCACATCTAGAAATCATTGCCAAATCCAGGGTCATACAGCTTTTCCCCTATGTTTTCTTCATATCGTTTTAATAGGTTTAGGTCTTATGTTTAGGTCTCTGATTAGTTTTCAGTTAATTTTTGTATATGATACAAGGTAAGGGTCCAACTTCATTCTTTTGCCTTTGGATATTCAGTTTTCCCAACATCACTTGTTGAAGAGATTGTCCTTTCTCCGTTGAATGGTCTTGGCACCCTAATCAATAATTATTTAATTTTTATGTCAACTTTGTGAGATAGATGTCCTCAGATGAGGACACTGACACCCAGAGAGGTTAAATAGCTAGTCCAAAGTCACACTGAGTAAATTCTGGAGTCAAGATTATAACCTAGACTAAACTAAAAACTTTTGTGCATCACAGGACACTATCAAGAGAGTAAAAGACAACCCACAGAGTAGGAGAAAATATTTGCAGATCACACATCTGATAAGGGATTATTATCCAGAATATATAAAGAACCCTGAGAATTCAATAACAAAAAGCCAAACAATCCAATTCAAAAATGGGCAAGGAAATTGAATATATATTTCTCCAAAGAAGATAAATAAATGGCCAATAAAAACACCTGAAAGAATACTCAATGTCCTTCACCATTAGGGAACTACAAATCAAAACTGCAGGGAGCCACCTCTTCACACCAATTAAGATGGCTGGTATCAAAAAACAGAAAGCAACAATGTTGGTGAGGATATATAGAGGCTGGAACACTGTGTATTGCTGATGGGAATGTAAAATGGTGCAGCCCTGTGGAAAACAGTATGGCAGTCCCTCAAAAAAGTAAACATAAAATTACTGTATGATCTACTTCTGGGTGTATGTATAAAAGCATTGAAAGCAGAACTCAAATAGATATTTGTTTACCAATGTTTTTAGCAGTGTTATTCGCTGTAGCCAAAAGGTGGAAATAACCTTAATGTCTACTGACAAATGAATAAACAAAATATGAGATATACATATAATGGAATATTATTAAGCCTTAGAAAGGAAGGAAATTCTGACTCATGCTACAACATGGGTGAGCTGTAAGAACATATGCTCAATGAAATAAGCCAGACATAAAAGGACATATATTCTTCCACTCATATGAGGTAACTGGAAAAGCCACATTTATAGAAACAACAAGTAGACAGGTCATTGTCAGGGGTTTAGGGAGAGAAGAATTGAGAGTTCATGTTTAATGATTACAGAGTTTCGTTCGGGAAGATGAAAACGTTTTAGAGATGGATGGTGGTGATCGTGGCAGGACGATGTGAATGTACTTAATGCCACTGAACTGCATATTGAAAAATGGTTAAATTGCAATCCAGGCAATTTCCTCCACAGCCTACACTCTTAGCCACAGTATTATAGCTGCCTCTCTGGTGTATGGCTTCTTACAGATTTGCAACAAACATGAATCTGGTGGGTGCCCTGTCTCATCCACTGAGATGTCCTCTTCAGCCTGACTACATGGAGGTCCAGTCTGACTTGTACCTGCTCAGTCTTTTGACTTTATCTTCTGGCTCCCTGAGATGTCCCAGCCACCAGAGATCAGAACAAACATTGGTAATCCTTTAGCTTTGTATTCTGGTTTTCCCTTATTATTTGCCTTACTTTATCCCAGTCAGCTTGGTTTTTAGAAATGTGCTTTTCATAGTTTATCCAGCATTTTTAGATGTTCTGTACTGGGAAGAGTCACTCTGAATGTTTAGTTCTCAATATTGGCCCTTAATTATCTGAGATGCTCTTTTCTAATATTATTTGTAACACTTGGGACTCACGAAGACCTACCTAACTCACCTAACAGCAAAAATGATTCAACTCAGTAAGCAATGGTGGTGGTTACTGTTTTGGAGAGGCATATGTTAATTAGAGCAATGCTTCTCAAAGTATCTGAATCATAATCTCCTGCAGGGACTAGTTTGAAATGCAAATCCCAATCTCTCATCTTCTTGAGGTTGTGATTCAGTAGGTCTAGGGTGAAACCCAAGGACCCACATTTTTAACAGTGACTTCTAAGTGCTTTTGATAAAAGTGAACAGCTAACCTACTCTGAGAAATGTAGCTAGCAGAAGACTGGGAAAAACATTCATTTGGAGAGAGGGCTATGTGGACTTTGAGGGCTGCCTTCTCTTTGGAAGAAAAGAACATGGACTTTGGAACCAGACCATCTAATCTGAACTTTGCTCCACAACAATCACCTGTTAGATCTTGAGCAAGAGTCTTAAACATATTTGTGCCTTAGCTTCCTTATGTTAGATGGAGTTAATAATACCTTTTTATAAGTTTGATATGAGAATTAAATGTGATAATAGATATTAAGCATCTTGTAGACTTTTTGCTAAACATAGCTTTTAAATTCACACATTTATTTTAACTCATGCTGAAACCCTGCCAAAATGACAAGAAAGGAATACAAAAAGGCGTACGTGTCCAAGCCCAAGGAAAATGAGAAAAGTAGAAAACAGTTAAAAAAAAAAAATTAGAGAATAGAAATTGAATGGAAGCAGAGCAGATATTCAGTGAGTACTCACCTTTCCACGCTGATACGACCTCACTGATTATAAGCAGTGTGTGTTCTGTGCTCCTGCCCTCCTTGTAGTTAAATATTTTCACGGTCATCCCTGAACAGAGGAATGGCAATTGATTTAGCAAGTTGAACATAAACCTAAGAAAGTTAAACCTAACTGCCTGAGGAAAGGGATGCCAAGGAGAGGGAACCAATTTATTCCAGAGAACACCAGCAAAGTTCAGCACCAAACATCATGCAGAGCTGGGATGAGGAGGAAAGACTCAAAACAGGGAGACTGGTTAAAGAAACATGTGTTGGAGAAGATTTAGACTCAGAATCAGAATTCTTATCTGCAACTCCGAAGTCAATAAGACAATGAAACAACTCTCAAAATGTAGGAGAAAATGTTTTCCAATGAAGTATTCAATAACAAACTATTAATCACGATATTTTTAGATATGAAAGGTCTCACAATTTTACTTTCTATGTTCTCTTTCTCAGTAAGTTACCAGATAATGTGTCCTATGAAAATTGGAGAAAGAGAGAGAGGAAAAAAAAAACAAAAACAAATTTCTGTTGTTTTAAACAATCCAGTCTGTGGTACTTTGTGTTATGGCAACCCTAGCAAACTAAGACAACAGGGTTAGCAAACAAGCCTCAAAGCTTCATTTGCAGAGCACATATCTTATTCTTCAGACTGTATATTTAGTTGGGAGCCTTGATAGGAGGGCTGATGAAGATTTTAGGGATGATTTAAGTCTCCCAAAACTATCACTTGGTATTGCCACTGGCTAGATGCCAAACTGGATGAGTGCAGTGAAATTAATGTTTTAAAGTTATTTCACAGCCAGGCTTGGTGACTCATGCCTGTAATCCCAGCACTTTGGGAGGCCGAGGCAGGCGGTGGATCACCCGAGGTTGGGAGTTCAAGACCAGCCTGACCAATATGGAAAAACCCTGTCTCCACTAAAAATACAAAATTAGTCAGGCACGGTGGAGTATGCCTGTAATCCCAGTTACTCCAGAGGCTGAGGAAGGAGAATCGCTTGAACCCACAAGGTGGAGGTTGCAGTGAGCCAAGGTTGTGCCATTGCACTCCAGCCTGGGCCACAAGAGCAAAACTGTCTCTAAAAAAAGTTACTTCACATGCATAAGCTTGTTATGCAATATATTTTAGGGACAGTAACATCTCTACACCACTGTGTAGTAAAAGCCTTCAGTGTTTCTCTATTTCATAAAAGAATCAGATATGAAGCCAAGAGAAGTAGGTCTCCAAGCCTATCCTTCTAATAAATCTTCATAAGACTGGCTACAGTAAGACATCACCCATTGACATCTCATGTCTCTGTTTTGTGTCTGATTTTTTGATACTTAAGATCAAATTATTTAATTTCTTCTTCTTTTTTTTTTTTTTTTTGAGTTGGAGTTTTCTCTTGTCCCCCAGGCTGGATTGTTGCCCAGGCTGGCATGCAGTGTAGCCCACTGCAACCTCCACCTCCCGAATTCAAGTGATTCTCCTGCCTCAGCCTCCTGAGTAGCTGGGACTACAGGTATGCACCACCATGCCCGGCTAATTTTTTTGTGTTTTTAGTAGAAATGGGATTTCGCCAGGTTGGGCAGGCTGGTCTCGAACTCCTGACCTCAGGTGATCTGCCTGCCTCAGCCTCCCAAAGTGCTGGGATTACAGGCGTGAGCCACCATGCCCGGCCAATTTAATCTCTTCTACCTCATTATTTGCTTTTGAAATTTACCAGTTCTCTTTAGTTTCATTTCTTCTAGCTGTCCTGGAAAGACTTTTCAATAACTCACAGAAAATCATCAGGCCCATATCCTCCCCCCACAAATAACAAATTAAGATTTCAGAATTAGCACTTGGTAATTCACTTGAATTTTTGGTTCCTTTTTAAGCTTTATTTATTTATTCATTCATTCATTCGAGACGGAGTCTCTTTGTCGCCCAGGCTGGAGTGCACTGGCATGATCTCAGCTCACTGCAACTTCCACCTCTGGTTCAAGCAGTATTCCTGCCTCAGTCTCTCGAGTAGCTGGAACTACAGGCACCTGGCATCACACCTGGCTAAGTTTTGCATTTTTAGTAGAGATGAGGTGTGGTCATGTTGGCCAGGTTTTCTAGAACTCCTGACAGGTAATCCACCTGTCTCAACCTCCTAAAGTGGTCCTTTTTTTTTTTTAAGATGGAAATTCATTTGTTTACGTAGATGCCATAAGTTCAAATTCTACTTCCAAATCTGTTTCACATCTGCCCAGGTCTTTTCATCTCTAGCCTAATGGCATGTCCGTATCTCTGAAGATTTACTACAGTAACTTCTTGTGTTCCCCTCCTGCCCTTTTTTTCTTTTCTTTTCTTCTTCTTCTTCTTCTTTTTTTTTTTTTTTTTTTTGATAGAGTCTCGCTCTGTTGCCCAGGCTGGAGTACAGTGGTGCAATCTCAGCTCACTACAACCTCTGCCTCCCAAGTTCAAGTGATTCTCCTGCCTTAGCCTCCCGAGTAGCTGGAATTACAGGCACCTGCCACCACACCTAGCTAATTTTTGTATTTCTAGTAGAGACAGGGTTTTACAATGTTGGTCAGGTGATCCACTGATCTCAGGTGACCCACTGCCCTCGGCCTCCCAAAGTGCTGGGATTACAGGTGTGAGCCACTGTACCTGGTCTGTTCCCCTTTTATATTTGCATTCCCTCCACAGAAAATAATGAACCATATGATTCTGCTTCCTAAAACTATTAATCAGATTCACTTCCGATAAAATGTAACATGCTTAATATGGCCTACTAGGCTGTTCTTAATTGGACTCCAGTCATCCTCATCTCCTGCCACTATTCTTTTCAAACGCTGTACCCTAGTCACATGGTCTCAGGTTCTTCAATACATCAAGCTGTTTCCTCCTCAGGGCCTTTGCACATGCTGTTCCTTTTACCTACCATGCTCTTTTCTCTACTGTTTAGTCTCTACTATAATTACAGTTACATTTCACTTGTTTTGTCTATAGGTTAGAAAAATTAAAAGCTAATAAATAGCATTTAAGAAATGATTTTGTGCATATGAGTAATTATAAAAACAAGTAGTAAGAAATGAAAACATACGTGTACAAAAGACTTGCACTTAAATATTCATAGGGCTTTATTCTGAATATCTCCATGTTGTAAACAACCCAAATTCCATCAGCAGAAGAATAGATAAACAAAATGTGCTATATTTGTACAATGCACTATTAACAACAAAAAAGAGAACCTCGAATACATGCAACCTCATGAGCCTCCAATGTAATATATTGAACCAAAGAAGTCAGATATATTAATAGAAGAGTGCTTACAGTATGATTCTTTTTTATGATTTTTTTTTTTTTTTTTTTTTTTTTGAGATGGAGTCTTGCCCTGTCACCCAGACTGGAGTGCAATGGCACCATTTGAGCTCTGCAACCTCCACCTCCCAAGTTCAAATGATTCTCTGCCTCAGCCTCCCGAGTAGCTGGGATTACAGGCGCCCACCACCATGCCCAGTTAATTTTTGCATTTTTAGTAGAAATGGGGTTTCACCATGTTGGCCAGGATGGTCTTGAACTCTTGACTTCGTGATCTGTCCACCTTGGCCTACCAAAATGCTGGGATTACAGGTGTGAGCAACTGTGCCCGGCCATGATATGATTCTATCTATGTGAAGTTAAAAGGCAAGCAAACCAATCTATAGCTATGGCAATCAGAACAACATTGCCTGTGGGTGTGTGTGTAGGGCATGAGCATTGGCCTGAAACAGCACAAGGGAACTTCCAGGGGTGATGCAAATGTTCTGTATCCTGCTTTGGGTAATAGTTGCAAAGGTGTTTGCATTTGCCAAAACTCATTAAGCTGTACACTGAGCTGTGCTTTTTATTATCTATGAAATATATCTCAAAGAATAATATAATCTTATGTTTTTATAACTTGGCTGCTCAAAAGAGACAGTTTCAAGAATCGAGTCCAATGAATCATTTTATTTTCTTTCTAGTTTCCTTCTTCTGGATCATACTCAAAGCTCATGTATGTTGTTAATGTGAGAGGTTATCACACATGCTTCCCTATAGGACTGTTATTTTACATGTTATTTTATGATCTCACCTATTTCATTTTCAAGCCTACATCAAATTAGAAGTAGCTGAAAAGTACAATGAGGCACATTGGTAATAGTAGGGTGATACCTTGACAGCAAAAGTGGAAAAAAAAACACAACAAAAACTAAAAGTATGACCTAAGAATTAAAAAAAAGTGTGGGCCTAGAATATGCTCTATTTTAAATGTGAGGAAGGATAAATACATGAAAATTCCATAGAGAACAGTTTAGAAAATATTTTTTGTTTTGGTGCTCAAAGGGCTAAAACGTCAGATATCTGTATTAATCCAGGCAACGATTAAAGCCACTCCATGGTAGAGCCTAGGACTTGTGGTAAAAGAGCAACCTTCAAGAAAATAACTGACATTAAACAACTGAGTGGAGCTTCAGGCAACTACAACGAGTCACGTAATACCAACAAGTAATGACTTAGCACCAATACTGCCCACGTGTCGTTCTCTTATTGCTGTAATGATGCTGAGTAATTCAGAGAGCATGTGCTTTCCTTGAGTCACGTGGGTGGAAGCACTTCATAGGGTGAGTCCATAAAAGAGTCTTGCTAGTTCAGGTGCAGTGGCTAATGCCTGTAATCCCAGCACTTTGGGAGGCCGAGGTGGGCGGATCATAAGGTCAAGAGATCGAGACCATCCTGGCCAACAAGGCGAAACCCCGTCTCTACTAAAAATACAAAAATTAGCTGGGCGTGGTAGCATGCACCTGTAGTCCCAGCTACTCGGGAGGCTGAGGCAGGAGAATTGCTTGAACCTGGGAGGGAGAGGTTGCAGTGAGCCGAGATCACACCACTGAACTCCAGCCTGGCACCTGGCGACAAAATGAGACTCTGTCTCAA